CACGAAGCAGACCAGGGACCGTCGGATGTCGATCGAACGGCCGTAAATCCAACCGGCGCCTCGTCCAGGGGGACGAGCCGCGCACAACGAAATCGAAGCGCGAATGCAAATTCAGCGGCCAGACAGACCCCTCCAAACCCCCGCTATTTTTCAGCTGACGAGCTGGCGAAGCGTGCGGACTTGTTCGCTGACATCGCGAACTGGGAAATTTCATCACTAAGCGACAGTCGACAACCTACCCTGGCACGACGTTTACCGCCCAATTTGTGCCAGCTGTTCTCGCTGGCAATATTGACCCCGTTACTCCATTTGTCGCGAAACCCGGAATCCGAAACGGGTTGGCGCCTGCTGCTTTTTCTCCCACGCCTGACACTGCGCCAAACCTCATCCCGACGCCCGAACTGGCCCCAGATCAAGGCTCGGCTCCGAGCCTTCCAGCGTGGCGAATGGGAGCAGCTGTACCAAGACGCGGTCGAGGCAGTCAACACCCCCCCACCGCCCCGTCACCAGCCAGACACGACTGGAGTCATCAGCCGAGCCGAGGGCCTAAGCAAACGCGGCAGTCTCCGACGCGCAGTGTTGGCGCTGGAGTCAACTCCAGTCTGCACACCTAGTCCGGAAATCATGGACGAACTTCGCCAAAAACATCCGCCAGCTGTACACGCGACGACAACCTGGCGTGACACACGTGGGTCAAAGTTGACCATCACCCACGCTGAATTTGCTAAAATGCTGGGAAGATGCGACAACGGAGTGGGGGCCGGGCCGTCTGGCACGACATTTGAGCACCTGCGCGACGCGGCAGTCACCAACGCACTTGTCAGCACCCATCTGCACGCCTTGGTTAATACAGTGCTGGGAGGAAATTTACCAGGCGCGGTGGCAGACCTGCTGACGGCGTCGCGGCTCATTGCTTTGGCCAAACCGGGTGGAGGCGCTCGGCCAATCGCAATAGGCGAATGCCTGACCAGGCTTGCTGCCAAGGCTGCCCTGAAAGTCATGGGAGAATCTGCCCGCGAGTACTTTCTACCACTTCAATACGGGGTGGCTGTGCCGGGGGGGGCGGAGGCGGTCATCCACGCTGCCCGTGCATTTTTGGACGCCCGTCCCAACAGTCTGGTACTGCAAACGGACATCTCCAACGCATTCAACAGCATTTCACGACAAGCCATCGCCAGTACGTTACACGACCCCAGCCTTTCGCCACTGCTCCCGTTAGTCAAGCTGACCTACGGTAACCCGTCGCTGCTGTACCTGGATGCAAACTTCAACAGCGTACCTTTGAAAAGCGAACGCGGGGTTCGCCAGGGCGACCCACTTGGACCACTCCTGTTTGCGGCGGGAATACACCCCACACTTCGAGAAACAGCCGAGGCACATCCGGATGTACTCTGCCTAGCTTACGCGGATGACGTCACTTTCCTAGGGGAAACTGCTCGAACTGTTGCAGCTTTTTCGTTCTTCACAGACAAACTGGCATGCCTGGGACTGAGGCACAGCCCACAGAAGTGCGTGGCCTGGAGCTCGCACACGGTTGATCAGACAGAACTTCCGCCAGGCGTGCCGTATTCAGCAGATGGGGTGCGGCTCCTGGGCAGTTACCTGGGGCCCGACTCGGGGGCGGCCAGATTTTTATCCAGACAGCTGGAAGAGATGGCGAAGCCGCTGCCTCTCCTGGAACAAGCTGACCCCCAGGTAGCGTCGCTCTTAGTCACGCGCTGCATCTCCAGGCGTGTGGCTTACCTCATCAGAACGACGCCACTCCACCTACTCCCCCGAGACAGCTGGAGTCAGTGGGGACAAGACTTGCTGACGGCGCTGCTGGTATCATGTGGTATCCGGGTTCCAACGGGCAGAGCCGAACAAGCGCGCGTCCGGGCGCAGGCTTCCCTACCTCCGTCACTAGGTGGCATCGGCATCACGGATCCCTTAGTAGAAGGGGTATACGGATTTACGGCGAGCTTTCTCCAGGCTGCGCTCTTCCTCTCCTCCCTCGAGCTAGACCCGGAGAATGCGTTGACTCAGGCGAGGAACCACATGCTCTTACCGCGGGACGATACAACGCCGCTGCACACATGGCTTACTGAGTGCGAAGCGGCGTTGCCAGGAGACGCGAGGGAGATTCTAGAGAAGGAGCGGCTGTCACCCTCGGATATAAGGCTCCAGCATGTGCTCGGCTTGAAGGTCCACGGTAGCAGATATGCCGTGCAGGTCCAGTGCACGAGGAACATGAGGCCGAACCCCCTCTCAGGCCATACGCAGCGGCTGTTCTCCCTGACAGGTTACGGAACGGGTGACTGGCTGACCGCTATCCCCATTGCCCCAAACAGACGTATAGGACCCGTGCACTACGCCAACGCCGTGCGCTTTCGGCTTGGCCTCCCGTTCTCGACGCCGAAGAAGTGCGACTGCTCTGAACACACAGAAATCACTGACCCCCGCCTCCCGAATCATCTCCTTCGCTGCGGCACAGGAAAGCACCGCATCAACACCCACAACGAACTGCGGGACGCATGCATTAGCATGGCGCAGGACGCGGGGTTTATCGTGCACAGCGAGTCGGCCGCCCACTGCCCCATCGACGAACAGACTGCCGATTTCACTATGACCGATAGGAGCAGTGGGGAGGTCTATGTGTGCGACGTCACCATCACTGACCCCATCAGCACAAGGGATCCCGAGGCGCTGAAAGGAAGGGGATGGGCGGCACGGGAGCAGGCTGACAAAAAGATACAGCATTACGCCAGCAGGCCAGAGACGGTTAGCTTCTTCCCTCTGGCCGTGGAAACCTACGGCTGTCCCTGCGCCGAGGTACCGGTCTTCCTGAAACTTTTAGCAGACACAGCGGCTCGGCGCCACTTCAACGCCGACTCAAAATCCTACTATGCCGCCAAGTTTCTGCATCAGTTTCGTCAGAGATGGTCGGTGGACCCTTCAAAGGGCCCAATCCGTGGGCCTCCTTATCAAGTTGGGTGAGGCAGCTGCAGCTGAGAACCCGCCTGTGGGCGGTATTGGGCATGAGTTGAACCTTGGAGATTGTTTTGCAGTGATAGAGCCCCTCCTGGAACTTTAGAGGGGGTATAGGGTAGGAATTGCCTTTGTGTTTTGTTTTCCTTGCCTCTATACCTTGCATGCTTGTACCTGGCTGCCATATCAATACAAGGACCATTAGAGAGAGAGAGAGAGAGAGAGAGAGAGAGAGAGAGAGAGAGAGAGAGAGAGAGAACGAACGAGAGAAAGAGAACGAGAGAGAGAAAACAAACCCTAAAGTACTTTCAGTTTCGTCGCACACATATTGTACCCTAATGGTAGTTGATCGCGTGGTTTATAACATCTCAGAATTCCTTGAAATATTCATCAATTGAAGTATCTAAAACAGAAACCAATAACGTTGTTCACGAGGGTAAAACGAATAAGCAAATACAGAATGGAAGGAGGAAGTAAAGATGTAACAAAACAATGCAACAAGGAAATAAGAAGGTAGGCACGGGGGTCGACGAAGGACTCACCAGGAGCGACTCCGCGTGTCTGATCGTTCCACAAGACACAAACACATTACACTGGCACCGATGATGCTCCTGCGATCACAATACAAAATACAGAAAACAATTCTAGTTTTCAGATTTTACAATGGTACTTCAAACGGCGAGCAAAGGAGAACAAAGCACGAACAAAGGAGAACGAAGCACGAACGAGATAACGAGAGAGATGGAACGAGAATGAGAGAGAGAGAACGAGAGAGATAGAACGAGAGAGACAGAACGAGAGAGAGAGAGAGAGAACGAGAGAGAGAGAACGAGATAGAGAGAGAACGAGAGAGAGAACGAGAGAGAGAACGAAAGAGAGAGAGAACGAGTGAGAGAGAACGAGTGAGAGAGACCGAGAGAGAGAGAACAAGGAAAAGAGAACGAAAGAGAACGAACGAGAGAACGAACGAGAGATAGAGAGAGAGAGAGAGAGAGAGAGAGAGAGAGAGAGAGAGAGAGAGAGAGAGAGAGAGAGAGAGAGAGAGAGAGAGAGAGAGTTCAATAATCAAGTAGATGAAAATTTATGTACCCTTACTAACTAGCATTTAAGCCGAATTGGGTTGCAACCCTTCAAAACGACGTAAGAGTATGAGTTGCGGCCCTTGAAAACCGACAGGAACAAGTTGATGAGAACGAGATACTTCTAGGTCGAAAACGGCTTGAAAACAACAAAATCAATAAGTAAGAACCGATGCAGACTTAAGAACGACGAGCTGCAGAAAATGACTAACTAAATCCTAGATTTTACCATCAACCAACTAAATCCTAGGTGGGAGCTTCATATTCTGACCTGGTAGGTTGGTAGGAGGAGCGTGAGTTGCAGCAGACAAGAGCAGGAGACGACTAGCGAGAGGGAGGACAAAAAGAAGAAACGATGATTCAAACCCTAAGCACTTAGCGCTCAACAAAATTGATTTTATAAAACATCATTCAAGATGGTCTCAAGTCTTCGTAGCGCAGTCGTTAGAATTTCGGTTAAAGCCGGCAGCCCAAATTGCACAAGTTTTAAAAGCTTGTGTTGGGGTTCAACGGGTTGCGAGGGGTGAGAGAGTGAAAGTTGGCAGCCCAAACACTGCACACCCAGTGAGCGAGTTCGCGAATTGTGCTGCGAACTGCCAAGTCAAACAACAGAAAGCCAGCCAATAGAAAATGTCGCACGTCTAGCTACACATCACCACCCAAAAACACAAGCCCCTCGAAGGAGGGACAACACAACACTTGCGGATTTCGAGCGCTGTCACACACACGATAGATAACGACACCCAAATACTTAGGAAAAGCATCAGGCCCGCAAGTTCAGGAAGCCGCATTCGTCTGCCAACTAAAATAGTCGCAATTTGCAAGTACATATGGCCCGTCGACCACGTATTGGTGCCCCACGAAGGTACGCAAAAGCCGCCAACAATCTCCATTAGGTGCACGGAACATTCTGAAAGTAGCGGTATGCACCTTCCGAAGCAACGCAAATCCGGAATGGCATGGTCTAGGGCCAGTATAAGCCTATTAGTACGGTACCTTACTGTCGCGCAGGCGGCGAGGATGCAATGTCAGCCATATGCTACGTGTGACTGCGTGACACACGGTTTCGAAAGTCATAACAAGGATGAAAAAAGAGTGATGCTACCGCCTTCTACGCCGCCTGGCGCACGCTCCTCAAAAGAAGCCCTTTACACCGCGGTTCGGAATTTCCAAACGCCAAGATTCCCCCATCCACATGCCACTATCTTCACTTCCCCCTCCCGTCGCCTTAGCTTTCCCCTCCGGTCGCCTTCAATTCCCCCTCCCATCGGCTTCAATTCACCCTCTCGTCGCCTCCACTTCCCCCTCCCGTCGCCTCCAATTCCCCCTACCGTCGCCTCCACTTCCCCCTCCCGTCGCCTCCAATTCCCCCTACCGTCGCCTCCACTTCCCCCTCCCGTCGCCTCCAATTCCCCCTCCCGTCGCCTCCACTTCCCCCTCCCATCGCCACCACTTCCCCCTCCCGTCGTCTCAACCTCCCACTCCCGTCGCCTCATCTTCCCCCTACCGTCGCCTCCACTTCCCCCTCCCGTCGCCTCCAATTCCCCCTTCCGTTGCCTCCACTCCCCCCTCCCGTCGCCTCCAATTCCCCCTCCCGACGCCTCCACTTCCCCCTCCCGTCGCCTCAGCTTCCCCCTCCTGTCGCCTCCACTTCCCCCTCCTGTCGCCTCCTCTTCCACCCTCCTTTTGTCTTCACAACCCCGTCCCTTCGACTTCACTTACCCCTCCCGTCCCCCCAACTTCTCCCCCCCCCCCCCCGCCCCCGTCGCCCCCGCTCCCCCCCCCCCCCCCCCCCGTCGCCTCCACTTCCCCCTCCCGTAGCCTTCACATCCTGCTCACTCTCTTCACCCCATTTTCCCCCTTATCGCTCTCTTTCCCCCTCTGCTCACTCCTTTTTTCCCAGCTCACTCCCATGCCCACTCTCGCCACCCAGATCACTCTCTTTCCCCCTTTGCTCACCCCCTTCTCCACCCTGCTCACTCTCTTTCCCCCACTAAAACCCCCCCTTTTCCCCACTCCTACCCTCCCTTCCCCCCACTCCTACCCTCCCTTTCCCCCACTCCTACCCTCCCTTTCCCCCACTCCTACCCTCCATTTTCCCCACTCCTACCCACCCTTTCCCCCACTCCTACCCTCCCTTTCCCCCACTCCTACCCTCCCTTTCCCCACTCCTACCATCCCTTTCCCCCACTCCTACCCTCCCTTTCCCCCACTCTTACCCTCCCTTTCCCCCACTCCTACCCTCCCTTTCCCCCACTCCTACCCTCCCTTTCCCCCACTCCTACCCTCCCTTTCCCCCACTCCTACCCTCCCTTCCCCCTACTACCCCTGACCTCCTCCCTTCCCCCTACTACCCCTGTCATCTTCCCTTCCCCCTACTACCCCTGTCATCTTCCCTTCCCCCTACTACCCCTGACCTCCTCCCTTCCCCCTACTACCCCTGACCTCCTCCCTTCCCCCTACTACCCCTGTCATCAACTTCCCTCCCCCTACTACCCGCATCAGCCTCCCTTCACCCAACTACCCACGTCATCCTCCCTTCCAACTACTACCACTGTCATCCGAAGCTTCCCCCTACTACCCCTGTCATCCTCCATACCCCACCCCACCTCACCTTACTTCCCTCCCTTTGCCCTCCACCAGGCAGACGATAAGACTATCAGGGGTCTGGCATCTGGATCAGCAACGTGTGGTCACCTCCCCTCCCTCCCCACTCCCCTCTCCTCCCTCTGTTTGCCACACTCCCCACTCCATACCATCCTAAATTGGCAGGAAGACAAAGGATACAGCTGCAGATGAGGCCAATCCAGTTGCGGGGCTTAGTGCCGAGCATGACAAGGCCACTCACGGTATATCCAAGCATATGCGACCAGTCATATGTCTTCAACGCTGCGGATTGTCGGCACTGATGGGAGGCAAGAGCGAGGCCACAACATCGGACGTGCTGTACTATTTCATGATGAATGCTCCAACCGCATATAAAAGGCTGATGCGGGCAGCCAAAGCCGCAGGTACATGGGAGAAGCGATTGTGGGAGGGATTAGATGTTTACGGTTGATTGTTGCGAGGATAACATGGGGCCCAGACCATACACATATGCCTCTGCTCATTTACTATCCATTCCTGTTGTCCAGGTGCACACGGGGGAGAAGCAGTAGCAACAGCGGAGCTGCACCTTGAGGCATATGGGCGACAGTTTGACGCACGGGCGAACAACGGGCCTAATGCAGTGACAGGGATAATTGGGCAAGAGGACCTCCAAATTGAGGGTCTTGTCTACAACTTCCCGCCCTACAAACAGGACAAACGGGGCAAATTACGCCCAGTCCGTGGGGTTGGTTGGGGAGGGGCCCGAAAGGGCAAGGCCTATGAACGTGCGCGCACACAAGGTGAGAAAGAATCAGTAATTTGGATTGGTTATATATAGTGTCGGACAGACGGATGTGTTGTCCGCATATACGAACACCACTGCAAGTGCATGTATATTCTAATGTGTTTGATAAATGACGTGTGTGCAGGGGTTGCCCAGTCAACCGGAACTCAAACAGAGGGCGTTGCACCCAGCCTGCAGCCAGAAACATTCTCGATTGCTGGATCCGAAAGCAGCCCTACGCACGCTAAACTCCTTGAGGCCGGAGTACCAGATCCGGCCCAAAGGTGCGAGTGTGTGGATGGGGCTGTCGAATGAGGTGTAAAACCAGGGGTGGTATTGAGGGCGGGGTCCACATCCATGCGTGCACCACTCACCGCACTCCACAACCTCACCTCCATCACTTGCCGCACTCCACATCCCATGCGTGAGGAAGGGAGCGAGAGAGACCGGGTGGAGAAGGAAGGCTGCAGCAAGAAGAAAGGAGGGGGGAAGGAAGGGGGAACGATGAGAGAAGGAGCAGGGAACAATGGGAGAAGGAGGTGATAATGTGTGGGTGGTTAGTGTGGTGTGGGTGGTGGCTGGTGTGTTGTATATGACCTGTAATTGTGGTTGGTGTGATACGAATGACCTCTGGGGGTTTGTGGCGTGGTGTGAATGACCACCATGCTTGGTGACTGTATGGTAAATTTTCTGCAACTGGAGATTGTGCGCGCTGGAGTGGTGTGACCGACTTGAGAGAGGGGCTCATGTGGACTGAGTTGGGTTCGTGATTGCGCTGTGTTTTGGGCATGGCTAAAGTGGTGGGTATAATGAGTTTAATGTCCACTCCTCATTGTTGCTTGAATGTGCAACTACCTCCAGGAATACTGATCAGGATGGGGCCTCCAAGGATACCCCAGTTCCGGTCCCGAGAGGGTGGCCACGTGCACCATCCGTCACGGATATGTCACCGTACATGGTATGTTTCCTAGAGCCAAGGCACATTCTGGAAGCATTAGCACCACTACAGATCAATTGCACAAGAAAAGGCTGCGGCGGGAGCATGTCCCTCGTGTCATGGAAAACTACGTGGGCGTCTCTTGGTCTTTATTGGCACTGTAGTACGTGCCCTTGCCGCATGGAGATATGGACTAGCCCCAAAAAAGAAAACGATCAAAATGTCAAGCGGACCGGGCCAAGGTCTATACAGCTTATGCAAAAGTTTGTAGGTGCGTTTGCCCTCGGAGGGGTAGGGTTTCAAGTGATGTGGGAAGTGTGTCGCAATCTAGGACTGCCAAATCCTGGAAGAGGAACATTTTACCGACTGTTGCAGGGTGAAAAGGGTTTGTGGAAGGCCATCATTCGTGCAGCCCAAGAATCTATGGCATCCGTGCGTGATAGCCTGTCTAAGAGCGAAGGTGGCGTGGGATACATTAGCGTAGATGGTAGATTTTCATAAGCTCGTGAGGCTGAGTACTGCACTGTGTCATTTCTACATCCCGAGAGTAGGAAAATATTGCACACAGAGACTACGAAGAAGTATATCAATGATCCGTCGTCTCCTAGGCTAGAAAGCGTTGCCTTCAATATGGGCATGGACTTCTTCAAGAATGTGGGGTTTGAAGTGGCTGGTATTGTTACGGATGAGGGTAGTACGTTTCGGACTGTGGCTGGACAGAGGGATTGGACACCAGCACGATTGGTGGCACAAAAGGCGATCTGTGGTCAAGAGCTTTGAAAACGAATTGCAAAATCGTGTGAGGGCTGTGGTCGAAATTGATAAGGCGAAGGTTGTTGAGGACCTGCATATGCATACGGTCGTGAAGCTAAAAGGGTGGTTGCAGAAGAAGGCCCCAGGCAAGGTGGGTGGGTCCAATGGAAAAGACAAATTGATCGAGGACATTTGCTCTGAGCTCGGCATCGTGTACCGGTTTGTGGATCCGGCAGATGCAAAATGGGAACATCCTGACTTGCAGCAGGTTGTGAGCGCAACAAACGCGCAAAGGGCTGGTCAAGGTGTTGGGGAATTAGAAGAGCGGGATGATGAGGAGGCCGCAGACAAAGTGGACGTACCTGTTATGCCTTCGCTAATACATAGTCGAGGCATGGGCCGTCATCAGGGTGGGCTGGAAGAGGGTGAGGGTGCAGTGGCACTGCTAGAAGGGCCAGTATCGGTGGATGTTTCCTGGCCGGATGTGGAAGAATTATGGCAATATGACATCCACCCAGTGCATGGGTTGCGACCATCATCTCAGGCGTCATTGGTGGTCACACTTGCGTGCAATGGCGCACGCGCCGAGGCGGATTTCATGGAGCGTGTGGCAGATATCTTACCTGGGACTGTCCATCAATCAGGTGCGAATAGCACTCCTGCACCCACTCAAATTGCTGAAACATGCCCGTCACACCATTTCTGCCACTCACACAGCTCACTAACACCAATCTGCCCCACACACACCTCATTACCACCAATCTGCCCCGCACACACCTCATCATCACCACTCCAGCCCCTCACACAGCTCATCACCACCATTCTGCCCCACACACTCCTCACTACCACCACTCCAGCCACACACACACCTCATTTCCACCACTCCCTTCCGTTCATAGAACATCATTACCACCCAAGCCCCTCACACAGCTCATCGTCACCACTACTGCCCCACACACCCTCATTACCACCACCACTGTCCCACACACACCTCATTACCACCACTTCTGCCCCTCACACAGCTCATAACCGTCCATTACTTCCCCAGCCGCACCTCATCGCCACCACTCTGCCCCACACACCCCTCACTACGACCACTCCAGCCACACACACACACCTCATTTCCACCACTCTAGCCCGTTCATAGCTCATCATCCGAAGCATGGCAAGTGTGGTGGGCACTAACACAGCACACAATCAGCCGCTTCTGCCCTGATGCTGTTACGTTGGGGTCTTGCAGGAGAGCAAGCTGGCAACTCCACCATCAAGAGCAAGGAGCAGCGACGGTGGTCAAAACGCAGCGGCAAGAAGCGTGCACGTGGGGAAGCTACCAATGCGACCCTTGCTGGGGAGAACGATGGAAGTAAAAAGCCGGTGTTCACCGTTGGTCAACGCTTTAGTGTGCATTTCAAGCACTGCATGATGCGGAATGCCACCAAGGCCAACGAGGGACACCCAATGACGCCGGCGCAAGTGTCTGAGGAGTTGGGGCTTGCTGCAGATCACTGGGCAGGTGACCATACTCGCTGCCGACGTGTGGGTACAACGCCGCCACGCTGTATTTCAGAAGGGTGGGGGGAAGAGAGTGCTGTATACGCTTTTGGATCACCAACCCACTTGGCTGTTCGTGAATGGTTCAAAACACGGCTGGGGCCAGATCAGGTGGCATCGTTGATTCTTGGCGCAAACAGCTCACTGAACGAGTCTTTCCACTCACTGGTATGCAAGTATGCACCCAAGCGACTGCGGTTCAGAGGCAGCATGGAGGCTCGCATAGCCTTGGCCGTGCTGCATTGGAACAGCTGCATGGACCGGCTCGTCAAAGCATATCGCATCCGGGTGCGGAAAGTGACGCGTGTGCAAAGGGGCCGAAAGGAGAGGATATTAGGACCCATGGACTGGTCCTGGGTGGACAACATTATGCGAGAGTGGTTGGCACAAGGTGCAGCTGATGTTGGGGAGCCTGAGAGGTACGGTGAGGGAGAGGGTGCTGATGGTGCTGACGATGAGGAACGAAGTGAGAACACCCGTGTGCAGCGCCAACGCACCTTGACCGAACCCTCCAGCACCGTTGTGGTTGAGCCTGAAGGCAGCAGCCCGATCATGACCGCTTGCCTTCTATCGACCCCTCTTTGTTGCTATAATCCCTCATGCCATCTACCACTTGCTGGGCAACGTGGTCAACAGGACATATGGTACACTAATGCTCAATGTGCCCTTTCCCCACCACACTACCGCAGGGGAAATGCCAACCAATCTGCGCTGATGC